CCGCTCTTCTGAGCGATAACTGATTTGGAGTCTGTCACTGCATAGGGTTGGGTTTATCCGTACATTACCATAGAGTTGCTGATACTGACTTATATTTACCAGGCACTTCATATATTTCAGTAGATATCCTGTAAGATCTAGTCTAAGTGCTTGAGTAGCTTTGATAAAACTGTTTTGTATTCTCCAGTTTGGACTGCCTAAATCCTGGCAGAGGTCACTGTAAGATGACTTTCTGCTTCTGTAAAAATTATTTATTCTTAGTCTTTGTTTTGTTTGTTAACTAAAACAACTGCTTCTTATCCCCAAACAATTTACTTTCTTCCTTTGAGTCTCTAAAGGAGTCTAACTAGAAACTTATGCACATGTGGACAGATGGTCTTAACTGATGTGAGTTCTTCATTTACATGTCCCCAGAACTGGGAGTCTCGCACAAGCCTGTGGACATGATTTTGCAGTATAGAGTTAAAAAACCCAACAAAACAAATCCAAAATGCAAAAAAACCCCACAAAGAAACAATTAAAACTTAACCAATAATTAAGCACCTGCTCGATGTATTATTTTATGGGCTCATTGATTATAATGATAGTAAGCCTTGGCATGACTGAGTATGACATTACTTTATAATGGATAGGTAGCACTGAAAATTGTGATACCTTTCTTTGATGGCAAACTAGGTAGAACTTAGTAGCAGAAGAAAATTAGTGTTTCAGCAGTTGTGGGAAGGGAGGAACTTTGGAATGAAAATAAGAAAACGTCAATCCTAAAATAAATGTTGGTTTTGTGTTCAAAAGTATAAACTAGTGAAAAGATAGCACTGAGTAAATGCAACCTTAATATTTTATATTCACTGTATCCTTTGCATTTGTGATAGTCTCACTAGATACCTATGACAAAGGGAATGGTATTAAGCTACAGCTGTTATTTTTTTTTCTTTCCTCTGCAGTTGCCAAATAGACTGGAAAAAAGGAAAGAATGTTACTTTGAAAACTATTAAGAAGAAGCAGAAACATAAGGGTCGTGGAACAGTTAGAACAGTGACAAAAACTGTTTCCAATGATTCTTTCTTCAACTTCTTTAGTCCTCCTGAAGGTAAGCTGAACATCAGTTTATCTACGTTAACTTTAAAAGTAGTGTGTACTTGACTCACTTGTTCCTTCTCTTTTTTTTTTTTTTCTCTGCAGTTCCTGAAAGTGGAGACCTGGTAAGTTGGCTTATGTAAAGGGGTGGAGAGGTAACACCAGTAGAATAATTCATGCCTCTGTATACAAAATGTTCGTTGAAGCTTGGGAATTTGTTAAACAGTTTCAGCTTTAACCATTTCTCTGTTTAAGTATTCTCAGTTGAATATTCTGATGAATACCATGTTTCTGAATTTTATTTATTAGAAGGGAGTATTTGTTGAGTTGAATGATGGAGTTCAGTGTAGTAAGCTTAAACAGCTTATCCTTCCTGAAAGCTGCCTTGTAAATTGTTAAGTTCTACAAATGTAGTGGTCTTCATTATTAGCCCTTGGTCTTATGGGTGGTTCAGGTCCCTCCCTTCAGGCATTTTTTGAGTGATCTTTAATGACTGCATGTATCTGGTTTGTATTTTATGCTGTTAAAAAAATCACAAGCTATTAACTTCTGGAGAAAGTAATAAAACAAGAACAGAAAACTGCAAGAGCCCATTCCTGTGTGCTCACTAATAGAAAACTGTGGCAGTAAGCCATCCTTTTTTAAGGAGAAAAACTACCAAAAACTCCTGTGAATGGTGAATACACCATGCAGCTTGAACAAGAAATCTGATTAAAGCCTCCAGGTGCATGCTGTTAGAATCCCATTGGGCATTGACACCAAAAACGGTATGTTCATAATGGTAAAAAAAACCCAGTAAAAATAAAACTTTTGGAATTGAAGGTAGCTCCCTGGGAGACAGCAGAACGCTTGGGGGGTAAGCAGAGGAGTGAAAACGTAGGACTGGGTTGAAGAGCATCTTTGTGTTCAGGTGTTTAACAGTGTCTTGTTTCATGGGAATCACGGAGTAGATGCACTGTAGGAATCAGTAGTATCTTGTAAAGTCTTTATTTAGATGGACTCATCTGGCTAGTGCTTAGTTATTAAGAGCATTGTGCATGCAAACTGAAAATCTGTGGGAGGTATTAAATAATTTTTCTACTGAGTACAAAAGCAAGTGGAAGGTTGAGGAAGAATAAAATGTAAACTCCAGAATTTTGTATAATTAAGCTTACTGAAGAGGCAACCCCCACTGCATAATGCAGTGTAAGTGTAAAGCTTGACTCCACAATTTCAATTCTATAAAGCAAGTCCTGAACCAAAAAAGTCAGCACGTGGGATTTGTGTAAATCTGACTGTGCACACTATATTTTTGTGTAAAAAGTAATGATCAGCTCATGGTTCAGGAAATCATGTTGTTTTATGCAGGATGATGATGCTGAGGCAATCCTTGCTGCTGACTTTGAAATAGGCCATTTCTTGCGTGAACGTATAGTCCCCCGATCAGTATTGTACTTCACAGGAGAAGCTATTGAAGATGATGATGAGGACGTAAGTATAACATTCTTCCAAAATTCCAAAAATTTTGAAATAATGTTGCTTAAAGACTTCAGGTGATTATTAACTTTTATAATGTTGATAATCTTAGAATGGGATGTATCAACATAAATTTCAGCTGAGTTTCCTTGGTTGTTCAGTAAAGGTCAGCATGAAGGTAATTTGTCTTTGAGGCAGTGACTTAAGAGTTTTATGGAAAAAGCTGTGATAGAATCTGAACACTTAGAGGATGATTGAGTTTAATTTTATGTATGGAGTATTCCTAGGGTGGCATATCCAATACTTTGGTAGAATTATAATGAGCTGCCAAAGAACAAATTAGTCTATCTAGCTGCTCAGCCTACTCTTTGTGCTTGCAGTGGTACTGAGCCACCAAGTTCCTTGAGATTCAAGCCTGATTCTTTCAGGAGGGCACTCTTAAAAACTTAAAGATAAGCATATTCGAAACATGCCAAGATATTTTCAAAGCAAGTGCTGCAAAAGCTTGAGTTAAGTGCTTTAAAGGAGCTAAGCTTGTAAAGGAAACCACAAAACTCTAGAACTTTGTGGGTAAAATATTTTCTCTCCTCTGCACAAACAAGGGCAGTTTGACAGTTTGATTTGATTAAGGTAAGTTCTGCCTTAACATGAATTTTTAGAATGTAAAATGGTAGCCTTTAGTCGAAAGCCTTGGCTGCTGGAGGTGGGAGAAGGAATTGACTGTCTATGTACCGATTGCCTTAGGCTTTGAGACACCCTACTGGCCAGAAGTGTTGCCACAGTCTAATAAGCTCTTTCACTGTTGCATGTAAGGAACTTAAGGTCGACAGTTGTCTCTGCCGGATCATAGCTAACAGATTGAGCACTTGTTCATGCTGATGCATAAATAATTTTTAAATCTGTCAAGTATAGGAAGCTCTCTTAGAGCACAGTAGTGTGGTCTCTGGCATCTACTCGAGTTACCTGGCTGTACTTGAGCCATTTATGGCTGTTTGTGACACTATCAAAACCATTTGTTTTCCTTTCTAGTATGATGAAGAGGGTGAAGAGGCAGATGATGAGGTAAGTTGGCAGATGGCCTTGATTTAAGTGGCTTCCCTTTTGTAGTTAGTTACCTAGAATTAAGAAGTCCTTTATTTTTTGAATGCTTTAGACACTTAAGTATTACTTATGAAGAGAAGATAGAGTACATGATTTTGTGGATCTAGGGTGAATATTTAAAACAAAACAAACAAACCAACAAAAAAACCCAAATAAAGACAACCGGAAGGTGTCTTACAAATTTAATTGTATTGATGACAAAATATATGCTTTGTGGAGATTAAACTAATACAATATGCATAACTTAACGTGGTAATTAACATATTTAAAAATATAATTTAGTTTTAATTTTATTGAAAGTGGCTCAGGAAGCTGAATGTAGGTAAGTTGAAGTATAAACAAGTGTTTTCTTTCAGGAGGGGGAAGAAGAAGCAGATGAAGAAAATGATCCTGATTATGACCCAAAAGTAAGGAACTAAAAAGAATGTTTGAAGTTTGTGTATGCATACACACATGTAAAATTTTATGTAAGTTAAATTTGATTTTTATTATTAATAGTGAGTATGTTTTGACTGAGACTGTAGTCCCACTTCTGACAAATTAATATTGGTAGAGCAACATTTTAAAAGTTCTTTCTCCAAGAATAATATTATAAAAGTACGTTCTGGCTTTGAGTGCTGAAACGAGTCAGGCTTTGGTTTTCTATACAGTTGTCTTACAGCAAGTTGCTGCTAATGATGAAAATGTTCTGTAATGGTTTTAAGGGCATGCAGACAACCATGTAATCCAGGTTCAGTTTTTGGGAACTTGTCACAAGCTGGCTGTGGTACAGATTTTCAGAGTAGATAATAGCAAGTTTTTTATTGCTTGAGGTAGCATAAGTCAAGGTTCAGGAGTGAATCTACAGCCAGGCACTAAAATGTGAACAGCCAAGAGTAAGTAGCAGCTGTCATCTTCCATGGAAGAGCAAATGACTAGGCAGGCTCAGTTTTCTGGAAAAGTGATTTTGAGCCACTCGGTTCATCGCTTTTTCCTAGATAAGGGAAAAACACAGTAAGCCTTATGAAAGCATTTGGTGGTAGGTGAAACTTGCAGTCATGAAAATGAAGTCTGCGTGAACTAAAAACATCTGTTGCAAAATGTGCTTGAAATTTCAAATGAGATTGTAGCATATTGTTCAGTGGGAATGGCTTGAGCTACAATCAAAGCAGAAAGAATTACATCATCTTAGCATTTCACCTAGGGTGAAATGTAGGGTATAAAATTGTTAATTAAAATGTACAGCCTGTCGGTGATGTTTCATCTGCTGTACTCTTTTCAAAATGCTTCCTATTCAAAAGAAGTTTTGGAATCAAAATGAAACAGCTGGAGCATGGGCTTCTTATGTCCACCATTTCAGACTGCTCTTCTAGGCTAAACAGAACTGAGCAAGGGCAAGACTATGTTCAGTTTCAGAGAACAGACAAAGGGGCTGGAGACAGAAGTAGTACTGCAGTATATTGACATAGTAATAGTTGTAAACGGATCATAGACTGAAAGCCAGCTGAATTTATTAAAGCACTGTGTTCCTAAATAGCTATCCAGACCAAGGTAGTGGAATAAACCTTGCAACTGCACTCTGCCCCCAACAAGCCTTTTCCTTAGATTCCTCTGTCACAGTGATGTATTGTTGCCTGTCTGTTTCAATACAACGGAAGAAATTTTCCACATCAGAATTTTCTAACTGCTGGCTTTTATTGTGAAGCATCTTTCCAGAGTGTTTAGAACATAGCATGATTTGGTGCTTCAGTGAGCTGCCCTACAGTAACTTCTAGGGGTTTCTTTTGCCTCAAACTGTGTAGAAGACCTGGATGCTGCTTCTGAGCCATGTTGTTTGTTATTACACATAACTCTTCTCATTTTTCCAGTTTTAGGGTCTTTTCAGAGTATCCTGCTACACTTAGTTCTGAACAGATTTTTTGTTCTGGATCATATACCTATGCACTAACAAAGCCAAAATAAATGCTTTGTAGATATTGTCATGTCCCAAGACAGCAGTATTACTAATACTAGACAATTAGTTTAAGGGAAAGATAAACTTGAATACTAGAATCATAGACAGTATGCTGAGCAATGTTAATAGATCTTTTAAAATACTGATATCTCTAAACTAGTATTTCCTTTTTTTTCTCAACAGAAGGATCAAAACCCAGCAGAATGCAAGCAGCAGTGAAGCAGTGTGTATGTGGCCTTGAGGATTACCTGCACTGTAATAGCCTAAACACAACTATTAGTTACTTACAGCCTTATGTTTTGTATCTTGGTAGGATTAAGTAACCAATTTGTTAAAAAAAAATAATAAATGAAACACATAAGAACCAGTTTAAAATGTAGGTTCAATCTACCTAGCATTTTAACAGTATAATTTTCTGCCAATATGTAGAATGCAGTAAATCCCCTAAAGCATGAATGTTAATTCATTGCTACATAGTTTGGTTCTTGTGAAGTCTTTGTCATGTAGCTATTAGACTGCAGCTGTGAAGATTATCAGAACTGTTAACTGAGACCAATATTTGTTTAGAGAAAACTCTCCTGAAGAACCAACCAAAGTATTTTTCAGCCCAGTAGTCTGGACGGGTTTAAGTCTGCTTGCACTAGCTGTGCCTTCATTACTTTGTCATAGAAATGGCAGTGACTTGTACTAACTAGGAGATGATGATGCATTTTGAATTTGACTACTTGAGAAGACTAGTATAACTTGTTTAATTTCCAACAAGACCACATGAAACATTCATAACTGTCAGCTTGTTTATGCTATGGGTTTTGTATTTTATGTGACAGTGATCTACAAAAAAACCTAGTCATCATATTAAGGTTATTGTTTACCACTGGGGTGTGAATAAAACCTAGTATTTTCAGAAGCTAGTCTTGTTTTATTGTGATGTGTGTATCTGCATGTGTAAACTGGTAAGGCATATCTTCCATGCTGCAGTTCACTTAAAAACCAAACACAGTAGTTTGAAAGTTTGAGCCATACTTTCCACTTGCAGTGTGATACTTGTGAATCTGAGCTTCTGACCTCAATTTTTTGAGTGTTTGGTCAACACTGCCATTTTGGAGAAGACAAGATTTTAGTGAGGCTAGATCTAATAAGGACTTCAGTATTGCTGTGCCTGACTCTAAGGCATTGGTTATTAGTATGAAATCTGGAGCCAAGAAAGGTGCCTTGAATTTTCAGGTCTGTGTAGACAAAACTGGCTTCTGGAACAAAATCTGCCCTGTAGCCTAAAGGAGTGCAAGAACACTTACCTGTATTCTAGTTTGTACTCACTGTATCAAGCATCTGCAGAGGAGGGAACAAACTCCAAGGAATTCATCTTGCCTTGCTTAATGTTCTGTTCACTGAACTTCTGTTTGGACATCCTGGTTCATACTTCATCCATACTGGATGTTCATTGTCAGTTGAAATGTATGGACTGGAAGATCTTTCTCATACTAAACCTGTCTCTAGCCTAACAGTGGAGGTGCTTTTGAGATGTGGTTTTGAATGTGCTCAGCTTGAAGAGACATGGGTTCATAGTCTTCCATTTGAGTTTTCCCAGTCAGTAAGATGCTACTGTACTCTGTGCAGTCTTATCTTCCACATAACTATAGAAATTCTGATCTTCTAAGCAAGTACCTGGATAACTTTTTGAGGGATGGAAAGGTCCTTGGAGGGTTGGAAAGAAATGTCCAGCTAGCCATGGATCAATTTCTGCAGTAGCTACTTTTTTTTTCATGTCATTGATATACTGACTTATGCATACAGAGGTAAGATTTGAAAAGAGCAGTGCAAGCAGGAGGCAACAGCCACATGAGGATGGGGCTGGTGGAACAGTTTCTGTAGCATGTTTCTTGCTTGGAGGGTAAGTACTACAGAATGAAGCTTATCTGAAGTGCCCTTCTGAATCCTCAGCTGCCCTGAGAGGAAGAAAGTCTAGTGTGCTCTGACTAAACTGGATTCTTTTTTTTAAATTCTTGAAGGCTTAAATACCACCCTGCTTCATTTCAGAATTCCTGTCAGGCTTCATCTTTGTCCTCTCCAGATATATACAGATTTGGGAGAAGGAGCTCTTATCTATAGATGTATATAAAACAGTTCTGTAGAAGCTGTGCTCTTGCGGTTTTTAGGTAGCCCATGGATCATAGCATAGAAGAACACAGCTAATGAAAGATTGACATCACAGTCTGGTACCTTTGTGTTAAAGTAGATGCAGTTGAGTCTTGTGATGGCATAAATCCTGACACAGTACACTTTGAGGAAGTGATCCTGCCAGGTGTTTTGCTGTCTCTTGGTCTCTTCTCTGAATGTCACACAGGGTTAAGTTTAAACTTAAACTTCAGGGCATGCAGAGACCAAACTGATGGTATGTTATGAGCTTGAGCAGCCATTAATATGGGACTTTGGGGTTCATACTTATGGTCATGAGAAGTATCTGAAGTCCTTACTTGGATCTAGCCCATTTTTACTAACAGCATCTGGCAACTGTCTTAAAAAGGGAAAGCACTGTTAAAACTTGCCTGATGCATTTCAGAAGTCACAGTTCTTAAGAAATTTGGCTTGTTTCAATTGCTTTCTCATTTAATATCTTCATATGATACAATGGGATGCAGTATTTGAAAAGGAGAGTTGGTAGATGCCAAAGCTCACCTGCAGCCTGCAAGATCCAGAGCCATGAACCCATCTTTGTCAACAGATTTTGGTAAGCTGCTTTCTAGATCTACTAGGTAGTTAGTTTTAAATCAGCAATCCTTGTGTTCTCCAGACTGCAGCAAAAGGAAGGATACACTAATACAAATTGGAGTGCCAGTTCTCATAGCATCAGTTAAATAAAAACTGTTGGTGCTTAATGTAGTTTTGTGATCAACAACACTCTTGTTTAGCAATTCTGAAAGGCAGTTTGTAGCAGGAACATTAAACTTTCAATATTAATTGGAGTATTGCGACTCATTCTTCTCTCTTCTCATGGATTTATACCAGCTCTAAGAGAACTTCATTTACTGTTTGAAGCAGGTAAGTTACCTTTATTGTAGCAAGTTCAGGCTAGCAAAATGTCACTGAAATTTCTTGGTCAGTTGCAGTACTGTAAATTTAGAATCTGTAAATTGTCTTTTGTCCAGTTTCAGTTGCTGTATTAAAAAAAATTATCTTGGAAAAATTGGGGATTGCTGAGGAAAAAGGAGAATTAGCTGTGACTTTGCAAAAGAGGGAAGGGCACTAAGAGCTTATGCTTTATGGAGAGGGATGCTTTGTAATTCTAAGCTTTCAGCAGATTACATTACATTACCACTGAAGAGTTTTCCTGTCTGCTACAACTTTGCTAATGGTAAAAAAAACCCCAAAACATACCCAACACCAGAAAAAATAGTATCCTGAAATAAAATAGTAGGCCATATTTAAGCTTAGCATTCTTCAGTTTTACTTTCTGGGGAAGGATGATGTCAGGTGTGGTTAGAAATGTTACCTTAGATTATTTGAACTCTAGACATAGCAGCACTTCTTGCCAATGTCTCCTACAGTTAACTACTAGCTTTTTAGGCTCAGATCCTTAGTTGAGTTCTTGGAACTGGTGTTTTTCAAGCTATATAGCATGTACTGTAATTTTAACATGTTCTTACTATTTAAAATAAAAAAAACAACGAGTAGAATACAGAAAACTGCAGGAATTGAATGTGTTCATCTTTAAGCAGGTACTGAAACTTGCTTTCCCTGGGATTTAAGGCCACTTGTTAATAGACCTGATGCAGAAATTGATAGGGAACTTATATGTGTTGGATGATTAGCTTGTCTGCCAGAGATTTCCTGTTTCCAAAGGGCTGCTTCTCAGCTTCTTTGTGTTTGGGAGGATGATTGTGCTGACATACCCAATGGCTTAAGGAAACAAAATACAAAATTCAGTAGGAAGGGGACAATCTGCTAGTGAAGACATTTCTGTATGTGATGGCCTGCTAGGTTAGAGCTAGAGCCACAATAGGCATTGAGTTACTTGGCTCTACAGTGCATCCTTCATCCTGTGCAGAGGTAGCCTTCTCCAAGACATCATTGTACAGGTCAGAAAAGTAGTTGCTGCCACCCGTCCAGTTTCATTTAACTGCTCAGTTGTGTTAGAGATGCACTGGTTCCTTGCAAGTTTCCAAGAGAGTGTTGAAGGAATTACTTTGAATTGCTCATTAACATGAACATAAATCCAGCTATTGGAAAGAGCAAGTCTTCTGTATGCTATCAAGAAGAGTTGGAAGTTTGTCCACATGGCACATGATTTGTTTCATCATTGTTTAAGTCCTCTTGTCAGTTCTCTGCTCAGACCTCATAGTCTTCCATACGATGGCCTGGGTCTGAGCTTTTGTAGGAAACTTCGAGTGAGTAAAGCAGATGAGACACAGCACACCAAGCAGAAGAAAAGCTATTCCATGTTTGGGTGTGCTTGGTATGTACCAGAAGTGCGTGCACAATGACTGGGGGTGTGTGGCAGTAGAGCTTTTGTTTTTGCAGGTGTCTAAAGTGGACAAGAAAATTTGTCCCTGCAGCTGCAAAGGGGGCTTAGCTCCTGAATGTTGCTGTTGTGAGCTGTGCTTCTATACGATCAAGTGCTTCAAGTATCTGCCCAAGCTTAGGTTTACCCTGCAGTTGATGAGAAGCAGTCAATGTGCTCTGAACTAACAGCATTGTTTTACTCAGCACTAAGTAATCAAATCTATGTAACAGCATGTCATTCAAACCCTCTTTCAGGCTGACTTTGCTCTACAATGTGTGTTTTTAATATTTTAGAAGCAGCTACCTCTGAAGTGCAAGGGACTTTGGGAAAGTCAGGCTGGAGCAGCTGCAATGTGAACAGACTGTGCGTTGCATGGTTTCTTCATTTGGTACCACTTGGGGTGACAGGGAGTGCTACAGCCTGGGGAAATGTGATTGATAATTATGGTAAATCTTCCATCTATTTATGCCTGCTTTACTGTGTGGTGTACACCTATTGGTGAGATGGAGCTTATAAAAGCAAGAGCCTGGCCCCCAGATCACGAGTTCATTGCTTCAGTGTTCTGTCACCAGCAAGTTCCAGGGAAATTACAGGGAGATGGTAAAGATGAAGACAGGGCTTTACAAAGTAACCACTTACTGTCTAATGAATCACATACTGCAACATGTCTCTTTGTCATGTGTTTCTGAGCCCTTGACTATTTTTATCTCATTTTTCTTGTATGTAGCAGTGACCAGCTTACATAGCCTCAAATCTTTTTCTCTTTTAGCCACTTTGCAGGACTGGAAGAGAGGATGTTGAAGGACTGTCACTGAAGACATGTTTAGCATCCCTTTGAAACCAATAATTGATGTCTGCAGGTTCATTACCCAAGAGAACACTAGTAAAATCGTCGGCTTTTTAGTCTTTCTTGGTGGCTTCCCAAAACAATAATTAACATGCCTCAGGGTTTAAAAAGAACACTTTAATTACGCTTATAATTACACTTTAATTAAGGTTACACATACAAAATTTTAACTACTTGAGTTGGGAAGCTTATTTAAGGATCAAGCATTTCTGTTACCAGTATCAGCTTTGAACATAAAAACATTCGATAAGGACTGAATAGATTTTAGATGTCAAGACTTGAGAAGGTTCAGATTCTCGGTTTTTTCAGGTTGTAGTACTTCGGGTTTGGCAGCAGGAGGCATCTGCACATCATATTTCAAGCGAAGCAGACGCAACACCTGTGTAGTATTTAGTGAAACTTCAATAAACGTAGTGAACATGGAACATTTCATATAATTGCAGTGGGTTAAATATATACTTAAATAAAAATAAAGAAAGATCTTACTGGGATAATGTAGTGTGCCCAACTGTTGAATGTCTTGTTTCAAAATATGAATATAAGAAACATTTCCAGCAGTTCAG